ACCCACAGCCAACCTCATACTCAATGGGCAAAAACTGAGCGCCATTCCCCTGAAGACAGGAACGAGACAAGGATGCCCTTTATCACCACTCTTATTTAACATAATACTGGAGGTCCTGGCCAGAGCAATTAGGCAAGAAAAAGGATTAAAAGGAATCCAGATAGGGAGGGAAGAAGTGAAACTCTTGCTGTTTGCAGATGACGTGGTCCTATATATAGAAAACTCCAAAGAATCCATTGGAAAACTGTTAGAAGTAATCAACAACTACAGCAAAGTTGCAGGGTATAAAATCAACTTGCATAAATCAATAGCATTTCTATACCCTAGTAATGAACTAACAGAAAAAGAACACAAGAAGACAATACCATTCACAACTGCAACAAAAAGAATAAAATACCTTGGGGTGAATTTAACTAAGGAAGTGAAAGACCTATACAATGAAAATTACAAGGCTTTTCTGAAAGAAATGGGTGACGACATAAAGAGATGGAAAGACATCCCATGTACATGGTTTGGAAGAATAAGCATAGTTAAAATGTTCATTCTACCTAAAGCAATCTAGAGATTCAATGCTATCCCAATCAGAATCCCAAGGACATTCTTTACAGAATTAGAACAAAGAGTCCTAAAATTCATATGGGGCAACAAAAGACCCCGAATTGCTAAAGCAATCCTGAGAAAAAAGAACAAAACGGGAGGCATCACAATCCCTGACTTCAAAACATACTACAAAGCTGCAGTAATCAAAACAGCATGGTACTGGTACAAAAACAGGTGCACAGATCAATGGAACAGAATTGAAAGCCCAGAAATGAAACCACACATGTATGCACAGCTAATCTTCAACAAAGGAGCTGAGGGCCTACAATGGAGAAAAGAAAGTCTTTTCAACAAATGGTGCTGGGAAAACTGGAAAGCCACATGTAAAAGAATGAAAATAGACCTTTCTTTCTCACCATCCACCAAAATAAACTCAAAATGGATCAAAGACCTAAAGGAAAGACCTGAAACCATAAGGCTTCTAAAAGAAAATGTAGGCAGTACACTCTTTGACATCAGTATTAAAAGGATCTTTTCGGACACCGTGTCTTCCCAGAAAAGGGAAACAATAGAAAGAATAAACAAATGGGACTTCATCAGACTAAAAAACTTCTTCAAGGCAAATGAAAACAGGATTGAAACAAAAAAACAACCCACTAACTGGGGAAAAATATTTGCAAGTCATACCTCTGACAAAGGCTTAATATCCATAATATATAAAGAACTCACACAACTCAACAACAAAAAATCAAACAACCCGATCAAAAAATGGGCAGAAGACACGAACAGACATTTCTCCAAAGAAGATATATGGATGGCCAATAGGCACGTGAAAAGATGTTCATCGTCGCTGATCGCCAGGGAAATGCAAATCAAAACTACACTAAGATATCACCTTACACCCATTAGAATGACAAAAATATCTAAAACTAATAGTAACAAATGTTGGAGAGGTTGTGGAGAAAAAGGAACTCTCATAGACTGATGATGGGAATGCAAACTGGTGTAGCCACTATGGAAAACAGTATGGAGATTCCTCAAAAAATTAAAAATAGAACTACTATACGACCCAGCTATCCTACTACTTGGTATCTATCCAAAGAGCTTGAAGTCAGCAATTCCAAAAGTCCTATGCACCCCAATGTTCATTGCAGCATTATTTACAATAGCCAAGACGTGGAAGCAACCTAAGTGCCTATCAACAGATGATTGGATAAAGAAGATGTGGTATATATATATATAATGGAATACTACTCAGCTGTAAAAAAGAACAAAATCATCCCATATGCAACAACATGCATGGACCTTGAGGGAATTATGTTAAGTGAAATAAGCCAGATAGAGAAGGACAATCTCTGTATGACTTCACTCATATGAGGAATTTAAAAATGTAGACAAAGAGAACAGATTAGTGGCTACCAGGGGAAAGGTGGGGTGGGGGGTGAGCGCAAAGTATGAAGGGGTGCAACTACAACATGACTGACAAACAATAATGTACAACTGAAATTTCACATGATTGTAACTTACCATTATCTCAATAAAAAATTAAAAAAAAACAGTATGGGGATTCCTCAAAAAATTAATAGAACTGCCATATGATCCAGCTATTCCACTGCTGGGTATTTATCCCAAGAACATGAAAACACAAATGCGTAAAGATACATGCATCACTCTGTTCATCCCAGCGTTATTCACAATAGCCAAGACTTGGCAGCAACATAGGTGTCCATCAAGGCATAAATGGATAAAGAAGATGTGGTATATGCACAATGGAATACTGCTCAGCCACAGGAAATGACGAAATCTGGCCATTTGTGAAAACATGGATGAACCTTGAGGGTGTTATGCAAGTGAAATAAGTCAGAGGGAGAAAGTCAAGTACTGTATGATCTCACTCATAAGTAGAAGATAAAAACGATGACAAAGAAACACGTAGAAACAGAGACTGAATTAGTGGTTACCAGAGGGGTTGGGTGGAGGGAAGAGGGCAAAATGGTGTGTGGCACATGTGTGTGGTGATGTATTGTGATTAGTCTTTGGGTGGTGAACATGATGTAATCTCCACAGGAATCTAAATATAATGATGTACAACTGAAATTTATATGATGTTATAAACCAGTGTTACCACAATAAAGTAATAATAATAAAAAAATGGGTAAAGGACTTGAATAGACATTTCTCAAAAGAAGATATACAGTGGCCAATAAGCACCTGAAGAGATGCTCAACATAACTAATCATTAGGAAAATGCTAATCAAGACCATAATGACATACCACTTCACACCCATTAAGATGGCTATATCAAAAAGCAGAAAATAATGTGTTGGGGATGTGGAGAGATTGAAACACTTGTGCCTTGCTGGTGGGAACGTAAAATGGTGCAGATACTGAAAAACAGAATGGCAGTTCTTCAAAAAATTATAGAATTTCCATTTGTTCCAGCAATTCCTGTTCTGGGTATTTACGTGATAGAAGTGAGAACAGAGAATCCAACAGCTATGTGTACACACACCCATGTTCACTGCAGCATTATTCATAATAGCCAAGACATGGAAACAACCTGTTTCCATCAACAGATGAAGGGATAAAGAAGATGTAGCGTATATGTACAATGGAATAATATTCAGCCATGAGAAAGAAGGAAATCCTGCCATTTGTGACAACTTGGATGGGGTTTGAGAGCATTCTGCTGATTGAAATGTCAGGCAGAAAAAGACAAATACTGCATAGTCTAATTTATAGGGGAAATACAAAAAAGAAGTCAAACTCATAGGAGCAGAGAATAGAAAAGTGCTTGTCAGGGGCTAGAGAGTGGGGGAAATGGAAAGTGGTTGGTAAAAGGGTACAGACTTAAAAATGAATAAGGTCTGAGGAGCTAATGTAAAACTTGGTGACTGTAGTTGGTAACACTGTATTATATAATTAAAAAAAGAAACTTCAGCCTTTGTTTTCAACTGTAATTTTATTCAAGGTTGAGCAACGGTATTTGTAACTATCGTGACTTATTTGCACACCGTCATGGGAAGCAGTGAAAGTTGAGAGTTAGGCTTCCTGGGTGTAAATCCAGGGTCCACGTTTTACTGGCTGTAAGTAGTTATAAGTAAACTATGTAAGTTCTTTGTGTTTTAGTTGCTTCCTTTGGGAAACAGAGACAGTAATAATAATGCATACCTCATAGGGTAATTGTAAACATTAAGTGAAATAATGCATTAAAAACACTTAGAATAGTGACTGGTACATTGTAAGCGTGTGGTGTGTAAACACTATGCAAAATAAGGCAGTAGAAGGATGGTCCGTGGAGCATTGTTTGCAAATGGTTCAAACAATCTAAAAGGCTATTAATAATGGAATGGTAACATGTATCATATTCTATCCATACTATGGAATACTGTGTAGAGTTTGTAAAAATTAGTTAGATCTAGTTGTACTAATTTGGAACAGTCTCTCTAAATGAAAATTGCAAGTTGCAGGCCAATAATACTATGTATGGTATGATTACAATTGTGCAAGGAAAAAAAAATCACAATTGCTCATCTAAAACATCCACACTTACATCTTATATTTGAATGTGTGTGTATTTGAATGTATACAGAGATAGAGCAATGTATACATAAACAATTTTTTTAGGAATCTTTACCATGGGGAGGGAAATATGTGTGTGTACGATATTCCAAAGTCCTGATGTATTTTTTATAATATATTTCATATGTTGTATTTGTGTATAATCAATGAAATTAAGAAACTCTGGGGAAATCTTAGTATTGGTTTTCAGAAATGTTTACTTTCAAATATACTATAACATACATACTTAGCATTTTTGTTTTACAACTATTTTGTTGCTTTTTCTACGTGTGTTGTTTTCGCTCTTGTCCATAACCAAGGAGCACCATCTTGTGATATTTTCTCACATTTCTGGGAGCATCCGTAAAACTTTACATGTGCCTCTTTTATAACATTTACCAACTGCTACTATGTGTTAAAATTGTGTATATATCCCAGGTGGTTCTCCTAACAGTAAGCAACCAGAGGATGAAATTTATGCCTGGCTTTATATTTTATTCCTCACAATACAATAGTTTGCGTATAGTCAGTGCTCAATAAATAGTTCTTAGATGAATATTTTAAATTATTGTATTACTGTGTATAAAAGAAATGAGGTTAAAAATACATATTCTGAACAGTCTCCATGTAAGGGTATCATAATCATTTGCATCATCTAACAATCTGATTTTTTAATTACAAGTATGTGCATAGACCTTGTCTCAGGAAATAGTCATTTCATTTATGATTATCTCAGAAAACTTTTCCCCCATATAAGTTCCACAGTCAAGACCTATAAGCACAACATTAGAATTATTTTCCCTAAATCTAATGATGAGAACTCAAGGGAAATAATGTAGAGTACAAAAAAACCTTATTATTGTTGTTTTGTTTACTTTGCTTTTTGCGTTTTTTTTCAGACTTGGGATGTAGCTTTGTCACGGACTGCTAGAGCATGGGGGAAAAAATGTGTGTTTGAGCCTAATACTCATTTAGAAGAACTGAGAATGGCCCATCCTAAATTTAATGGTATTGGTGAAAATATGTGGGTTGGCCCTGAAAACGAATTTACCGCGAGTATTGCTATCAGAAGTTGGTATGCAGAGAGGAAGAAGTACCATTTTGAAAATGACAGTTGCTTGGATGACTGTTCTCATTACATACAGGTATCTGATTTTTATATTAATAATTCAGTAGATTCCTCAGTTGCATTACTACTAAGTTTTTATTATGTTTCAGTTCTATAGATAAACCCAAATGGTAAAATGATTACTTCTAATAGAATCACAATTCTAATCAGTCCTAGGTCTTCAAGATGTCTGTGCTTCCATCTATTATGTGAACCATACAGTAAAACATTCCTTAAATATATAAATGTAATCTCCATGCCCAAAGATGGTAGGTACTTTTCCAAAAATGATGGACACTGGAAAAGGAAGTAAGAAACCAGCAAATAAAAATTATTTTTAAATTATTGACTATAAACATAAGTGAAAGACTTGATAATTTTTGCACAGATCAGTACACATACTGCCATGTAACTTATTGATTAAAACATTTTAAGTGCAAATTAATAGTCTTTTCCCTGCCTCGTGTCTAACAGTCCACTCTTACACCTCATCCTCCAGCATACTGCACCACTTGTTACTTCCTGTACATGCATTTGTTGTTTTATGATCCTCTATTTATATGTGACACTAAGGGCAGGGACTTTGTCTCCTCACCCGTATGGTCTCACCACCACAGCATGACATTATTTGGGTCTTCAATAACTATTTGTATCATGAATCAATAAATTATTGAATAAACTTCCAAGCTTATTCAAAAAACGATTATTTTCCAATCAGTAGACTCTGATGTCATGTTTTATGTAGAACTTAAAATCTTGGAATTTTTTTCATGTTGAACTCCTGTTTTTCTGTTCCATCAAATGAATCATATTTCCAAAATAATTTTGATCAGTTCTTTTTTCCTCTAGAAAGTTATGGTGGTTCTCCATTATCTTGCTCATACCAAATAAAAAGAGAAAATTTATTCAATAAATAATTTACATAGAATTAAAAAATCATTAAATAAAATTTATTTATTTATTTCTATTTTATTTTCTAATAGAATTTCCTCAACAAAAGAAAAGAGAAATGCTGACCACAATGGCTCTCTACTCTGATATCGCTTTTCCTTCCTTTCTGTAATCTTAGTGTCCCTCTTTTTCTCCCTTCACAACTTCCATTCTTCGAAAACTTTTTCTCCTCTCTTTTCCCTCTTCCTCTCTGTCAAGAACGTAGAACTCTCGGATTCAACAAGATGTTGAAAATTGATTCAGCAAGTGTGCCTTCCTTTGGCTCTAAAACATTACTCTAGATCAGCATTTATCAAACTCTTTGTCCTAAGAATACAGTATTGGTAGCAAACCTATCAAAGCGTATCTCTAAATAGTTTGGAAGTGCGTCCCTAAGTCCGTGATAATTCTCTCCCTGCATTTAAATGAAGAGTAGTTCATATTCCTTGAATTATTTGGTTAAAGGTTCAATGTGAATTGAATATATTATTGTTTATAACATGGCAGAGTAAATGTTTAGAATTAAATTTTATGATTTTTTGAAAATTTTATTTTAGCTTGTTTGGGACAGATCTTACAAAGTTGGTTGTGCTGTTACTCCATGTTCAAGAATTGGACCTATCAGACATGCGGCAATTTTCATATGCAACTATGCACCAGGGTAAGCTACTTTAAATTTTAAAAATAATGTAAAGATAAATTGGGAATTTTTCAAGGTTAAGTTTTCCTAACTTTCAATATATTCTTCTAAATGTCTTTGTGAATTCTTTCCACTTACTTACCTGGTGATTATTTACCTTATACCTGAATATCTTTCTATGATAGGAAATAACTACCTTCCAAAATAGCTGCCATCTCTGGAGAGCTCTGTTGGAAAGTCTCAAGTATTCTTTCAGGTCAATATGATACTCTAAGTAATATTATTAAAATGTCCACCTAAGAGAAAATATCGTAATCAATATGTCAAGTAAACGGTAAAAACTGACTACATGCTAGGATTGAGAAGGAATTTCTGTCAAATAAAATGCTTCTGGAACTACTCCGAAAAGAAAAAGAAAAAAAAATGATTACTGATTACTGGTTATATGCTCTGAGATAGGAGAAACAACAGAACTGTGATGTAAGTCGGATTAGACTCAGAAGGCCCTTTCCTGATGGGAAGCTTTGCTGAATTCGGACAGGCATGTGAAACAAGTTTGGGATGTGGAGTCTTTGCAAAACTTTTTAGGCTTCCTTTCATTCCCACAGACTGGAAGCATTGGGGTCATATCAATTACATGGAGGAAGTTTTGAAAGTTAACTACTGATTGGTATTGAAAATTCAGAGGACTGGACACTTGTGCAGAGGAGGGAAGAGGTTCCTCTGGGGCACTAGTCTTCATTTATGCACTCAGCACATATGTCCAAGGCTCTGATCTATCTACTAACAAGACCAAAAACGACTGACCATATTTGATTTATAGTCTTGGAAGGAAGGCAAACAATGAATAAGTGAATACATACATAAGTAATATTGAATTAGATGATAAAATATACCATAAAAAAATCAAGATAAGTGAAAAGGGAATAACTAGTAGGGAATATAGATAAGGTGGTTGCAAAAGGAGGTGGCATTTGAGTTGAAAGTCAAACAATAAGATTGCTAAAGAGTATTTCAGGTAGAAGTCAGAGCACGTATAAAATCTCTGAGCTTGAATGAGTTTAGCATGTTTGAGAAATGAATAATGTGCTTAGAGGTAGGAGTTGAGGTAGAGAGTTAGGTGACAGCTACACAAAATGGAATACCATAGACCACGTTAAAGATTTTGGAATTTATTCTAAGTAATGGCAAAGCCATGGGAAAGTCTTAAGCAAGTGAGTGACATCATCTCATCTATGTTTCAAAAAGAACACTTAAAGAAATGGTTACTCTTGCTGTTGTATTAAGAATGGACATGAGTTTCGTTGGTTTTTTTTTTTAGATTTCACATATAAATGAGATCATACAATATTTCTCTTTCTCTGTCTGACTTATTTCCCTTAGCATGATGCTTTCAAGTTCCATCCATGTTGTCGCAAATGGTAGAATTTCCTCATTTTTTATGGATGAATAATATTCCATTATATATATACCACAACTTCTTTATCCATTCGTCCATTGATGGACACATAGGTTGTTTCTGTGTTTTGGCTATTGTGAATAATGCTGCTATGAACAGGGTACAGATATCTTTTCAAGTTAGTGTTTTCATTTCCTTTGGATGTATTCCCAGAAGTGGAATTGCTAGATCATATGGTAGTTCTATTTTTAATTTTTTGAGGATCCTAAGGAGATGTGTTTTGTGTTTGGACACTAGGTAGAAATACAAATGTGGGAAATGTAAATTAATCATGAGGAGGAATTAGCTCTATGGAGGTCTGGGATAGGTTTCTAAGTAGAAGGAACTGCTGGGCCCTGAGGTAGACATGAGTCATAGTCTTGAATGAGATCACCGTCCCAGAGAGTGCATATGGAAATTTAATTTAAGCACTAAGTGCGAGAGCACTACAATGTTTGACCAAAGGAGAATGAAGAGAGGCTAACAAGGTAAGAGGGAAACCAAAGCAGTGCTGGTAAGAAAGTGAAGCCAAGTGAAGAACTCCAGTCAAGATGCCCAGAGTGGTTAACTGTATGAGATGCTTCTGAAAGAATGAAAAAAATGAGGAAGGAGAGGTGACGGTTGAAGGTATTTGGTACCCTGAATAACAGTAGTGGCTGCGAGGGTATCCCTTGGTGACTGTAGTGGTAAGATGAAGCTGCCAGTTGTTAGCATTACTCTTCTTTCCACCCTCCTGTTGAAATTTCTATCACCCATTTTTCCTTTGATATAAATATTGGCAAGTCTACCTGTGAAGGATCTATGTTGGAACATATTAAGTCAGTGCAAGCCTTATTTGATATATACTCAAAATAGGCAGTCATAGCTGTCTTTCTTAAGAATAGTTGGTAGAAAAATCAATCCATCATAGTATTATGAAATACTGAGTAGAAATGAAAATAAGAGAGCCAAATTGAAAATTGGAATGTGTAGTAGGCTGAATGGCTGCCCCCTAAAAGATATATTCAGGTCTTACTTCACAAAACCTGTGAATGGTAACTTAGATGGCAAGAGTGAATACTGCCTTATATGACGAAAGACGTGATTGAGATGAGGATGTTGAGGGGGGAGCACAGCCTCCACATGTGTTCTCACAGGAGAGAGGGAGATTGAGCACTGGACACACAGGAGAGGAGGACGCAACCTGACCACGGAGGAAGAGGTGAAGTGACAGACCCACAAACCAAGGGCCTCCTGGGGCCACTAGAAGCTGAAAGAGTCACGGAATTCTCCCCCTGAGCCCTTGGAGAGAGCACAGTCCTGCCAACATCTTGATTTTGGACTTCAGCCCTCCAGAACTGAGAGTAAATTTTTGTTGTTTTAAACCACCCAGTTTGTGGTAATTTGTTAAAGTAGCCACAGGAGACTAACACAGAATGGAAGAATAAAAACAGAATTGGCCATAGAGAAAATATGAGTTAACAACAACCTTAGAAAAATTCTCAGAACACAAAGAAGAGGAGTAGAAATCAAAATATATATGAACAAAAATAGGAATCATATAGGACAGATAAATCTACAAATTGGTACTCCTAAAGAATAGAGAAAAATTAATGGAACAGAAATAATAAATAAAAGAAAATGTTCTTAATCCATAAAGATGCCCATGTAAAGATTAAGATAGCTTATAATATATCAGAAAAAGTGAACTAAAGCAATGTTTACCGACATCATTTTCTAGTGATTATTTTTCAGTCTCAAAAATAAAGACTCATACATTTCTAAGAAAAACAAAACAGTATTATTAGATTAGCCTTGAACTTAGTTATTGGAGAGTGTAGAATCAAAGATGATCATGAGAATTTAAGCTTAAGTGATAATATAGTTTTGTTAACTGAGCTAGGAAAAGATGTAGGGTGGAGGAAAAAGGATTTGTTTATTTTTAGACATGTTGCATCTGCAGTGACTGCAGGACCTTTTTTTTAATTAAATATAAGTTTGTAATAGGTGCACCAAAAACTGACTAGGCATGCAAGTCCACAGTTTTTACATGATGTCTATCCAGAAAACACTTGTAATCTGTTGGGAAAGAAATACTTAAAAAAAGGAGGGGGCAACATTAACCAAATATATACACATATCCATATTTTAAATAGGAAGGAGCTGTTGTAAAAGTAGATTTGAGATCATAGAAGCTATTAGCCTGGGTACAGATTCAGAAGCAGTCAGCTTTGATGCATGGAAGATGTGTATTAGGGGGAAAAAGAGGCCACTGGAGAAGGTAAGAGATCTGGGATTGAGGAAAATGACTTGACTCTGGGGCTAGACCCTTAAAAGAAATAAATTATAGTGTCCAAAAGTATGTAGTAAAGAAATTTTTCTTTATTTAATAATTAAGAAAATACAGTCTGGCAGGTAATACCATTTTCTTTACCTCTTGAGCAGACAGCCTCCCTGGAAGTTTGGTAGGGCCGTGTGACTGAGTTTGGCCACTGGAATATAGGCCACCTCCAGGCCTGGCCTTTAAAAGTTTCCTACATGATCCATCACACTCTTGGTCTTTCCTCATCTGCTGGCTGGGATCTGGTGAAGAATTCAGATGTCCCAGAGGATGGCAAAGCCACAAGATGGCATGAGGCAATGCCCCAGAATGAGTGCTGGAAGAAGCCCCTCTACCACTGCCAACACCCATCCTGGAATCACGACGTGAATTCTGCCCACCATGGCACGGAAATGGCAAGGAGAGGCCAGACTCAGGACACAGCTTGAAGAAAGAGCTAATAATGCCTGCTGATAGATTAGACTTCAGCGGTAAATGGAATGGAATGATAAAGGACAATACCTATGTCTTTAGTCTGAGCAACTGGATGAATGGCGATGCCACTAAATCAGATAGGGAAGACTTGCAGAGGAGCAGAGCTTGAGGAAAGATCAAGTTTTCTGTTTCAGACATTGAGCTGTGAGAAGGAGCTAGAATGGAGGTCTAGGATGGGTTCTAAGTAGTGAGGTCTGCAGGTATAACAGTCCTGAGGCAGAATGAGTCACAGTCCTAAGGGAGGTCACCTTGTGGGGAAGTACATGTGGAGAAGGGAGCAGAAGAGACTAGGACTAAGCCCTGTGTCACCACAGTATTTGCACTTCAGGCAAAGGAGTATAAAGAGAGGCTAGTGAGCTAAGAAGGAACCTAGAACTGTGCTGGCGGATTTTTAAAATAATATTTAGACTTATTTTTTCATCAATCTCTTATATGTAAGCTTGCTATCTTTCCATGGTTTTCTGCATACATAGTAATTTGTGATTCTATGTATCATATTGTAATCATTTTAGATATTTTGAATAACAGGCTAAACGTAAAGTGCAAACAATGCATTTAACACATTTGAAGTGATGACAGTATGAAGAGCTCTGACAGGTTCACAAATGAGCCGTGACATCCATGTCACATTCATGGCCAACCAGCAATGATTCTCAGACACCATCAATGTTAAGATGTGTCTTGATTTTTCAGAGATGTTAAAATATGAAAAGATGTGCATGTTAGAATTATGAAACGCAGTATATAACTGAAAGAAAAGATTTACAAAACAGTACATATCCTTACTAT